AACCCTAACCCCTACCCTAACCCTAAACCCTAACCCCTACCCTAACCGTACTCTGTACCCTAACTGTAACCCTAACCCCTACCCTAACCCTAATGCCTACCCTCTTACCTGTACCCTACCGTAACCTCTAACCCCTACCCTAAATCAAAACCATACCCCCTACCCTGACCTCATCCTAACCATATCCCTACCCTAATCCTGACCCCTAACCCCTACTCTAACCTCAAACCCTAACCCTAAACCCTACGCTAATCCCAACCCTAACTCTAATCTGTACCCTACCGTAACCTCTGCCCCTACCCTAACGCTGAACCCTAACCCCTACCCTGACCTCAAACCCAAGCCCTAACCCCTACCCTAACCCTAAACCCCAATCTGTCCCCTACCCATAACCTCTAACCCCTACACTAACCCTAACCCCTAATCCTAATCTGTACCCTAATCGTAACCTCTAACCCCTACCCTAACCTCAAACCCTAACCCCTACCCTAACCCTAACCCCTAACACTAATCTGTACCCTAATTATAACCTCCAACCCTACCCTAACCTAAAACCCTAACCCCTACCCTAACTCTTATCTGTACCCTCACCGTAACCTCTAACCCCTACCCTAACCCTAATCTGTACCCTAATCGTAACCTCTAACCCCTACCCTAACCCCTACCCTAACCCCTACCCTAACCGCTACCCTAACTCTTATCTGTACCCTCACCGTAACCCCTAACCCCTCCCCTCCCCTCCCCTCCCCTCCAACCCTGCCCGCCCGGGTCCCCAGGCTCCGCAGGGCGAGCGCGCACGCCTCACGGAGACCCGCGTGGCGCAGCCCGGCCGGCCAGGCCGCCGCTCCGAGCTCGGGCCGCAGCGGGCGGGCGGGCTCCAGCCGCTTCCCAGAGCTTCGCGGGCGTCTGCGCCCCCACTCTGGATGAGTCTGACTAGAGCCCTAAGCTGTGACCCTGGACCGTGACCCTGGACCGTGACCCTGAACCGTGACCCTGGACCGTGACCCTGGACCGTGACCCTGAACCGTGACCCTGGACCGTGACCCTAAACACCGACCCCTACCCTAACCTACTGGCCTTGAACCCGAGGAGTGCAGCAGCCCTGCGGCTGCAGGAAAGGAAAAGCTGCTTCTTGCGCCACGCCCACCAGCGCGGGCCACGCCCACCAGCGCGGGCCACGCCCACCAGCGCGGGCCACGCCCACCAGCGCGGGCCACGCCCATCAGCCAAGGCCACACCCGCCAGCCCAGGCCACGCCCACCAGCGCAGGCCACGCCCACCAGCGCAGGCCGTGCCCACCTTGCCTCTCCTACTGCCTCGATTTATCCCGTTTACCTCTGTGACAGCAGACGAGGCAATATGCAAAGCGCTTCTCGGATTAGTTCCTCAAAAAAGATTCCGGCGGGCGCGGAGGCTCTCGCCTGTCGTCCCAGACACTCTGGGAGGCCGGGGCGGGAGGATCACTCAAGGTCAGGAGTCGGAGGCCAGCCTGAGCAAGAGCGAGACCCCGTCTCTACTGAAAAAAATAGAAAGAAATGAGCTGGACAACTAAAAACATATTGAAAAAATGAGCCGGGCGTGATGGGGAATTCTTGTACTCCCAGCTACTCGGGAGGAGGCTGAGGAGAGAGGATCGTTTGAACTCAGGAGTTGGAGGCCAGCCTGAGCAAGAGCGAGACCCCGTCTCTACTACAAAAAAAAATTGAAATGAGCTGGACAACTAAAAATATACATTAAAAAAAAATGAGCCGTGCGTGGTGGTGCATGCATGCCTGGAGTCCCAGCTACTCGGGAGGGAGGCTGAGGCAGGAGGATCGCTGGAGGTCAGGAGTTGGAGGCCAGCCTGAGCAAGAGCGAGACCCCGTCTCTACTAGAAAAAAATAGAAAGAAATGAGCTGGACAACTAAAAATATATAGAAAAAATGAGCCGGGCGTGGGGGCGCATGCCTGGAGTCCCAGCTACTCGGGAGGGAGGCCGAGGCAGGAGGATCGCTGGAGCCCAGGAGTTGGAGGCTGACGCCCCGGCGCTGTATCCGGGCGACAGGGCGAGACCCTGTCTCGAACAAACGAGAGAGATTTTGTCGCTCGCAGGCCCCGAGCCCAGCGGCGGCGGGAACTACGAGGCCAAGCAGGGGGAACATCCATGTTTTATTGCTTTTTCTCCAGAGGACGAAACGCACACAAGGGTTTTGCTGACGAAGAAACTAGAACGTGGGGCGGGACGAGCTTCCGTGCAGGGCGCGGGAGGCCCCGTCGCGGGCCGGGCTGGGGACACGCTCAGGGCCCAGCTGCGGAGGGGCCGCGGGCCTCGAACCCGAGGAGGACAGGAGTGCTGAGGCTAGAGGATGAAAGGAGCTGCTTCCTGGGCCACGCCCGCCAGGGCAGGCCACGCCCGCCAGGGCAGGCCACGCCCGCCAGGGCAGGCCACGCCCACCGCCACAGACCACGCCCACCAGGGTGGGCCACCGCCAACCATCGCAGGCCACGCCCATTAATGCAAGCCACGCCCACCAGCCTAGGAAACAACCAACTCAGGCCACACCCACTATTGTGGGCCACGCCCATGAACACAGGCCACGCCCGCCAACTCAGACCAAGCCCTTCGATGCAGGCCACACCTGCCAAATCAGGCCACGCCTGCCACACGCAGGCTGTGCCTACCAACTAAGGCCACACCCTCCAATGCAGACCACGCCCACCAACTCAGGCCACGCCCCTCGAGGGAGAATACGCCCACCAACTAAGGCCGCACCCTCCAGTGCAGACCACGCCCACCAACACAGGCCACACCCCTCAAGGGAGAACACGCCCACCAACTATGGCCACACCCTCCAGTGCAGACCACGCCCACCAACGCAGGCCACGCCCCTCAAGGGAGAACACGCCCACTAAGGCTGCACCCTCCAATGCAGGACACGCCCACCTACTCAGGCCATGCCCACCAATGCAGGCCACGCCCCTCGAGGGAGAACACGCCCACTAAGGCCGCACCCTCCAATGCAGGACACGCCCACCTACTCAGGCCATGCCCACCAACGCAGGCCACACCCCTCGAGGGAGAACACACCCACCAACTGAGGCCACTCCCTCCAACGCAGGCCACGCCCCTCGAGGGAGAACGCCTGCTCCCAGCTACTCTGGAGCGCCCGAGGAGGAGGATCACTCGAGGTCAGGATTCCAAAACCAGCCTGAC